CAATCTTAAGCAATGGTCAGGGTTTGCAAGGGGGTGCCCTCCTGCCTCCTGTCCGCAGACAGATCTTAGATGCTAAACGCTAAGCCTCGTGCCGAAGCAACCGGGATTCTCTGGATTCGAGAAGGCAGGTGACCCAGACATGTGAACTGAACAGAGAACTTACTAGATTTCCTGGCTAATAGTAAGAGAGAACGCCCGGGATACGTTAACAAAGGAGTTCATGCCGTGGGTGATCTTGTTCTGGGATTATTGCTGTCAACATCCTATTCATAAAAGGATGAAAGGAGTGTTTTAATGGATTACAAAAAGAGGCGAATGAGGTGAACGCACGGACACAACTGAACGAACGCGCCAACTAGTATGCGAACTAACTTTGTAAACGAGATTTTATTGGGGAATTTATGAACGCATTATATTAATAATAATTGGTTACAAAGGACTTCCAATTTGATAAGGACGAATTATTTTATAAACAAAGGCACCAGATGTCCAATGGAGGCTCTTATGTCTGAAGGTTTACGTCTGAGGCCACCCCAGGAAAAATTCCGGAATGGCTTCTTCGAAGTGGGGCAGCTGCAATCCGTCTCCTCCTCACCACTGGACGTGTCCTCTGCTTTCCAACCAAGATAGTCACAAACCATCAGATTTCAATAGCCGCTGCACTTTGGCAGGTCCACGGCCCAAACCGCTGAAACCCTCATGACACCCCAATCGGCTCCTTGTCCACCGCGTTGAAAGACCACGGCCTGGACCTGGTGGCGGACAAAGGCCGGAAAAAAAAAGGAGCAGTCATCTCTTCTCTGGTTTCAGGCTACTGGTTCGAGTGGATTTATTTGGTGTGTCATGCTGCAGATTTTTCCAGGGTCAAGGGCACCCCAAAGTGCCACACGAATGGATGAAGTTTTGTCGCTCGGAAGCCGCCTTTTATCTCAGGGAGGGCAACCCCCAAACCATCTTTATTGATGGTCTTCTACTGGCCGGATTGGCGACATGCCTTTTGTGGATAGGACCGGTAGGAGGTTTTCAACCAACTTTCTATCCCAAAACTTCCAACTTCAGGACTTAGTTGCGGGTTGGGTGCTAGGTTTTTGGGCTCTTGCCACACGGAAACGCCCATACATGGAGGGAAGAACTCCCTACGAAAGACCCTGAGGAAGCTCTAACCTGGTCAACGGTGCCATCTTGAAGGGCTTTCATGGCTTTGGGGGTGCTAAAAACTTCCCAGAAGGCCCTCCAAGCCAAACTTGCAGCCCCAGGCCGCCCCAGCAAGTGACTGTCCCAAGCGATGCTTAGGCGCCCGCAGTGTCCCAAATATGCCCGCGAAGCCATCCTGGACTTGACAAGAGGCAGGCACTCGGCCAGAAGTTTGTCTCGGCACCACAATTGCCGGTTTGCTACCGTTTAAGCTGATAGTATGCAGCGCATGTCGGCCAGCTTTGCTGTGCAGCTGGTGCTGTCCCGGCGTGCAGGTCGCAAGCTGACCAAAGGACTTCAGCCATGAGATTGACATCGAGCCGGGCCATGACTTGAGAGGACACCCACGCGCCGTCGCCTGAGCCCTCATTCGAATCACACCGGTGTTCTGAGTGAGTTAATATCTCTAGGACAGCAATACCGGCAATTCACGAAGCCCGTGAGCGGAAGGGCTATTAGAGGAAGATCGAGATGCGCGTGAAGTGCGCACAACCCCTCTCACCGAACATGGTGACTGACCGTACTGATCAGTGTCCGAAGCAAACAAGGCCTCTCCTCTGCGAGCGCAATCTCTTCGTGTGCGCCGTGTCAAAGTACTAATTGGAACAAGAAGGATTGCCGTGCCCCCTTTAAAGCAGGCGTGGCCGACTGCATACTGGCTGGAGAGGATTCCAAACACGACAGTAAACCGATCTATGCACCTCCCGAAGCCGGACAAATGCCCTTGATATGCGTCCCGGTATAGTTCGTGTTGAATCTTCTGGGGCTTCAAAGCCAACACCTGCGGGCTGCCCAAAACCTTAAAGACTGTAGCCTTAATCCCCAGACCAACAGACCCAAACAAACAAGCCGCCTTCGAGGTCAGAGCTGCAGGAACCCGAACCCCAAGGCCCCTGAGTTCCAACCCTGTGGAATGCGGGGGATGCTTTAGAGGTCCTAAGCCCTTTTGGGCTTAGGACCTCTAAAGCATCCTGTTTTTGCCCATCCTGGCATTCCACCGGGTTGGTTCTCAGGGACCTTGGGGTTCGGTTTGTGCTTTATCGGTTTATGGGCTAGCTTGGATGTTTCGGTGCAGTGAGCTCTGGGTAGCCGACCGACTCGCGGCAGCTGCAGGACGACGGCTGGCTGGAGCAAGTGAAGCCCTTGCACACATCGCTGTCCGGTTGGGGTGGAATTACTTAAATGGAATTAAGGATTCCGAGATTTGGGGGTTGAGGCCATAACTGGCATTTTGGCTGCGCAACTTGAAGCTTTCGGTTTCAGCACAAGATCTGCTCTGACTGTTGTTGGAGGCCGAGAAGGATTCCAGGCACAGCCTCATGCATACACTGGCACACCTACGGTGTTGGCTCTGAAGGAAGGGGAAAGGTCTCGACCAACAAACAACGCCTTGCCCGACCCGCGTCGATAAATATGAGGCTGCAACCACTGTGTAAAGTTTGCTGCCTCCCCTGCTCAAGGAATCAAACGGCGGGCCCCGAACCCCGAAAAAAGGTTGGGCGGGAGATGAGGGGTTAAAGTTTGTGTTGGGGTTGGGGCTGCGGGCTTTGGATCTCTTGGGCGCGGTTCTTGAGTCTGGGGATTCGGAACCTTTGAGTTTAGGCCTTGGTCATGGGTAGCTCCGGCCTTGGGTTGGCAGGAGAAGGAAAGCAAGGTCGGCCAGCTCTCTTTGGATGCTGCCTGACACGGTGGCTTTAAATTCGGTTTAAACAACAGGAGGGGGTTGGGGGTGTGAGCTTCGTGCTCAGTGGAGCTTGCGCAGGACAGCCACTAACATGCTGGTTGCGATTTCTGTGTTTTCAACGTATTGCGGCCTGCACAGCGCGTTCTCCATCGCTAAGCCCAACTTTCAACGTCTTAGTCCATTTTCCCGTCCTCAACCCTAAGGACACGCTTACCCTTTCAAGCTGAACCCCGAAAAGAACCCTGATTCCACAACTAACCCTAAGGACAAGTTTGCCCAATCGAGCTTCTTTCCCCGAAGCCTTAAAAAGCCTGAAGCCTAGTCGCAACTGACTTATAAGGATAAGCAAGACTACTGGAGGAAAAGCGCCTGGCTCTCGCTTGCCTCGCCGGCCACAGGTGCTTGACCCATGGCTGGAGGGTCTTAAATTCAGTGCTTACTTCCATGTGGTTATCCGTTTGAATCTAGGCGCTTTGCCCTACACCCTAAACTTTCAACCCTAAGCGGATGAAGGGTGCATGATGTTGGGAGCAGTTTTGGCTGTGGTGCGGGCATTGTGCAGGGGTGGGGGCCTTGGTCATTCTGCTATCTCTGCCGCGGGGGGGCTGATGCAGGTGCTGGGCAAACATGCATAGGTACTAGACATTGGGATGGGAGCCATTCACGTCAGCTTCAACTGTCATCTGAGGGTGTGCCGAGGAAGCTCAGCTTTGTTATCAAGCTTGTGGAAACTTCTGGTGCGGACGGTATGGGGCAACACTGTTCACCTTTGTCCCCTGCGGGCTTCACTCCCTTATATACCCTCGCCTCCAAGCAGCTACACCGCGCCGACGGCCCACTGCATAAGGAAGTATATTTATCAAAGGCAAACACCTATGTAGAATCTCAGTCGAAAAACAAAGATAAAACTCAACGAAGCCATGGCTGCCCCGAGAGGCTGTCCGACCCCCATTGCAGTCTTTCTGGTCTTAAAGATCCTAAAGTTATCTCAGGTCAGAAGAGGAGGCTCATGCATCAGGGCCACAGGTCCGCTTAGCCGTGCAACAGCCCGTTTGGCATGCAAAACAGCCATGTTCACGGAGCTTCGTCGACTGTGTTCTTGCTATTGTGGGAGCCCCAGAAAGAAAGGAAGCAGCCTCGATGTGCATATTGCTGTCATATGACGACACCTTCTAGAAAGTGCCCCAGTGCTCCGGGTGATATTGTTTCAGATTGATTGCTTGGAGTGCTGTTTGGCGCGCAGTCTTTTCATGTCCAGAGCTTCAAATTGCTCCACGCACTCAGGCTAACATAGGTACCGTTCTTGAAGCTGAGCTCATGAACTGCATCAAACCCCCCACAGTCTACGCGACATTCTCTAGGTATCTAGATCCTTCGCTTTCGGAACCGAGCACTCTTAAAGTGCCACGTCAAGTTAAGCGCCAAACACGGTTCCAGCTGCGCTCCAAGAAGGTGCATTTGAGTGCACGTGCTAAGCCCGAATAATTTGAGAAAAAGCGGAAAGGCCCGAAAGAACTGAACCCGTAAACCTGAGCTCACTTCCTGTGCACACGCACGCCTGGCATCGCTTCCAAGGAATGGCGTCTTAGGATGTCTTAGGGTTTGGAGTTGAGATGAAGATGCTTGGGTTTTAATTTAGAGAGTTTGGGCGAGAGGAGTTCGGGTGTTCAATGGCCAGAAAGGAGCGATATCATGCTGCCTGAATCGAATTGGCCTTCCCTCGGCTCAAGTACAAAAAACTAAAGCTCAAAACTGCGTTACACTCCATGTAGCTCCACGATTGCCGGAATGTTGTCTTTTCTAACAGCGGGAAGACACTCACTTGACACATTGGAATTCACCTCGCCACGCGCGGTGGTGCGATTGAGTGCGATCTGTAGAATCCCATCCAAACCAAATGCTGCTAGAGGCCAGCCAGACTCTTCTTACAGGAAGGGACATTGTGATGGCTACCAATATGAAGTTTGATGCACGCTGTCGCGTGGCTTGTGCTTCCTTGTGCAATCCGTTTAGACTTAGGAAGATCATCATGAAAGATTCGACAACAAGCTGTACATGTCAGCGTTGTCGCCCTGGGCCGCATGTGGCTTTGCCAGCTGAGCAGCCATCACACCGAGGTTTTTCAACGAGGATAGCGGCCACAGCCTGTGTAGTATGCCTCGTGCACCAACTTCGCACATGCTGAAAGTATCGAAGACAGTCGAGAATAGTTGGGGCATGTTTAGGGCGGTGGGCTTTAAGAGATGTCAAAGCCTCAGAACGCGTGCTCAGCTTCTTCGGGTTTCTTGCCCTCGTGTCTCCCTCTCGCGTTTTATTTCAAATTTCATCATCAATCTTCAAGAGGGCAAAACCATCGAAAAGACCGGCAGTTTCTTTTTTTGGTGGGGAGGAGGAGGGCTTTTGCTCTTCGGGACTGTATGCAAGCTGTTTGTGACTCATGGCTGCTGCAAGCCTCGCTGAGATTTTCTCGGCCGACACGGTACACATGGTGTCAAGCAAGACAAGCAGCTGTTGGCCCGCACGAGACGTTGGTCGGCAGCAGGCAGCCGTTTTGCGACCTCGGCAGGCTCTTCAGCGCCTGTGACAACCGTGAACCCCCAGCAACAGCCCACTTCCGCAGTGAGGGATGAATCAAAAACAAGCCAAAGAAGGATCAACAGCAACCGAAACTCAAGGTTGTTTAGGATCCCCGCTTGCATGCAGGATGTGCGCGTCACTCGATCATCCGACGCTTGGCTCATCTGTTCCAGGCCCATAGCAGTCTTGCAGACACGCTTCGCGTCTACTTCCACCCATCCCCCGGCATCAAACGGACTATGCATCTGACAGAGTCTGACACAGTTCCTGGGCCTCTGACTTTAGCAAAGAAGCGGTCTCAACTGCTGGCTTGGAGGAGCCTCGACAGCACCCTAGCGTGGCTCAAATCACCTCTCTGTGCCCCTCACTGACAAGCGCCTGTGTATCCTGACTACGTCCTGGGATGGTTTAGGAAAACAGGGCAATGCTGCTCAATAAACCGCTCTGGGTTAAAACTTGTGAAGCCTGACTCTACATTTAACCAAGACACTGGCGTTCCGACCCCTGACACTATACTACAAGTACTTCAGCATAAACTCGAATTTCCCACCAAAATCGCAAGCCATGAATAACTCTAAGCTATAACCCATTACTGAAGTCAATCCTGGCCATCGCGCCTGTCGAGGCATTTGTGCGTGCTGGCGCCTCCAGTTCAAGATGGGTCGCAGCTCCACAGTGGGGTTTAGCGCCGCAGAAACATGTTGACTTGCAGGGGTTGCGAATATATGTGGGTGGCTGTCTAAATTATGATCCTTTTTGGGGTACCCTGAATATTCGGTGCCGTATTATGACAGGGATCCAAACAGGTACCATAATTTTGACAACCGCCCATGGGGCTTTGGCAGCCAAGCCCGTTCTCCATCTTCCTCTCCACGCGTCGGCTCAGATGCAAGCCAACACCACACCCTCCCACTGAAACCCCCCGCCTCCACAATCTTCAGCTCCTTCGCATCCTTTTGTAAACTGTGCCGCTGCTGGATGGCTTTGGCTGTCCACTTCCTGCAAGTATCTGCGCCCTAGCGACGTGCGTCTCAGTCTTAGAAGGCGCGAAGTTGAGACCCTGAGCCTCAACAACCTCAACCCTACACACCCTCAAGTGCTCATGTCGTGCAAATGAATGCTCGCGATCTGCACGGTGCCGATGGCGGTGCTGCGAGAACAAGCACGACAACACTAGTCACAACCGATTGGAAAGTCTTCGCCTCCAATTCTTCTGATCAGCATACCATCCAGATCGGGGCGCAAAGACAAGAATAAATTCTTGTACAGCCTTCGTGAACTAGACAAATCGGACTGTCGAGAGAATTGGCCCCAAGGCTTGGGCTGGAATACTCAACAGTCTCATTTTCGCCACTTGGAGTTGTGGAGAGCGACTGTATATAGCATGAGGCGGCAATCTCAAGTACTTGACAAGTCTTGCGTGCTTAGCTCTCAGAGCGTGTTTTACCCTCAAGTGCTTCTGGACGCCTTTCTTTCAGGATCATCTCCTGTAGACCTCCGTGCCTCCAGCAAGGGCGATTTGAGGCTCAGGGGGAGCAAGGTTTGCAGGTTTGGATTCGTTGGGTCCAACAAGATTCAGGCGCTTCTAGACGGACGTGCAAGGCCTTTGTTCAGCAAATTCAAGGACAGGAAAACGCCGAGTCACAAGGCCAAGACTTAAGACAACTGCACAACGCGAAATGCCAAAAAGGATGCTGCAACATGAGTGCGCGCTTCGAGCGATGGAGTATCGCACCCCGAACACTTTCCCGGCAACACAGCAGGTGCGCAGGAGCTAGTGAGACTTGACATATCCCTTCTAACTGCAAAGCAAGGCAGAGCAATCACTGCACACTCGCCCAGCCACCTTTGCATTTTCGCATTGAAAACGACATGGTCATTTGAAGAGATGAAGAAGGCTCAAGAAAAATGGAATGCGGGCAGGCCCATTCAAGAGTTCGTAGTATGGGCACGGCAAAAACCTAGCACCACATCACCAGACCAAAGTCTGAAATTCAGGTTCACTCCCCCAAAACTCCGGAATCCTGGTGCTCGAAAGTGCCAAACCGAAAGCCCCAATGACAAAAATTTGAAGCCTGATCCTGTCCAATCAATTCAAGGTTTAGGCTTCTAGAAGCAGAGCCAGAACCCTGTCGAGCCGCCTTGGATGTACCCAAATGTCAGCCATGGTATTGAAGAGGCAGGCGGAAGGGACTGGAAGGCGCTGGCTTGAGGCGTACATGAATGGACAGTCTCATTCCCTCATACTAGTCCTTAGTAAGGATGATAATAGCGTACAATAATCCCCATTAGGGACTTATACTGTCGCCTGCCGAAATCCTAACCCCTAGCACCCCCCAAAACCAGGTCCTAATCGCGGGTGGTGCCTGAAAAACTTTGGCTCCCGAATCTATCGAGGGCCCCAAGTGTGCAGGATCTAGTTGACCCATGACCTGTCGCACGCCGTGGCGTTTCCCCTAAAATCCTGCAGGGAGGGAGGGAGGGAGGGTGGTGGGGCTTCTAAGGACGCTTTTCGTGGGTCTCGGTTAGCGGGGCGCCGAGCTGAACCCGAAGAACGCACAAAACGCGAAAATAGCAACAAAAACATACATGCAAAACGTGCGAAGCGTTGTATACTCCTGAGGTTTTCCACTGGTGAATATCCAGCTGCCGTGGACGAAGCATTCTTCAATCTTACTGTGTTCAAAAACACTGAAAGGTGCACTCGCAAGGGTCCCGGTCTCGAGAATCACAAGACAAGGGGCTTTATTGGTGTTTGTATTTTGCGATAGCCTCACTGTGGTACTTTAAGACTGTTTTACTTCGAGCATCCCGCCTACCCTCCAGAATCCCGTCCTACTCTGGGGTTGGACACTTCAGGGACCCTCTGGGCCTCTGGGCATTTTCACAAGCGTTATTTCCTTTTGCGACCGTGCCCAAAACGCTCGTATTTACAGCGTCTTTGCTCTTTTGCACTTTCTACGGGTTGGGCATTTCAGCATTCATTCCACATGCAAACCCGCACGAGTTCCTACAGAAACTCCGAAGAGCCCCCCCCCCCCCCATCAACAAAACAAATAAACATAAACATCATTTTGGAGATCAACGAGACCTTATTCGAAGCTACCTTGGCTTCGCACGGGCCATGCGCCGTGCAGTTTAAGGTTTGGGCTTCGAGGCATTGCAGAGCGCCGGACTTAGGCGTTGTAAAACAGCAGAGAAGCGGCTCTCGCGGGCTGCAACAAGGTTGCATGCTTTTTGGCCTCCGAGGTAGCCTGTACAAATACCTCCCAAACTTGCCGAAACTAAGATGGCCCCTAAGACCCTCTAAAAAAGTATTCCTGACCATGATCCTCTTAAACCCCAAGAAGGCAAAATTTTCACATATCCCAAGGGGCCTTCCTAGGAAATTCCATGGGCACTAAACTGGGCGACTCTGGAGTCGTGGTCGGTCTGGCCCCCTTGCCGCTCTGAAGAAACGTGACCTATGGCTCATAGCTGTCCGGTATCCTAAGGGAACTAAAGGTTGACCTTTTGGAGCTGTGTAGGGGTTCTCATGCCCCAAAAAGTTTACCTACTCTACTACTAATACTAAGATAGAAGATAGGTATTCAAGACAGGATGCCGGAACACCATCCCCAATTGTCTAGGGACCTACTCGACTTGTATGGCGGAAACGACGTGGCCACCATGGCCTGGGTTCAGGGTTTAGGGTTCTCACTTATACTAACGGTCCTGAATAGAGACGATATCAGGAGGTACGATAATACCTATTCAGGACTGTTAGAACATCCCAAATGTAGGGTTGAATGTTAACCCCCCAAGCAATCAAATCCTTAAAGCCCGAAACGCTCCGAAAACCATCGATCCGAAAGCCCCAAGTCAAAGCCCCAAAACCGTAGACCCCCATAAGCCCCTCTAAACCCCCATAAGCCCCAAGCTCCTTTAACCCCTAGCCCTGAACCCTACACCCCTATAAGCCCCCCTAAAAACCCCTGGCCTGACGCTCTCAGCCCCCCTATAAATCCCTATCAACTGAACCCGCACAGCCTTGTCAAGACTTAAACCCCCATGTCACAGCCGCGACATCGTCGAAGGCTCAGACACAAAAGCCGATGCCCCGACTCCCCGGTGGCTTCCGACGGCACTCCATACCTATTGACATTGAAACAGGCAAAGGTCCCCCAAAACGAGAATCCTAAGTGCCTTTGGGCAGGCCTTGCGGCATGTAAGGCTTTGCATTGGACAGGGTGACCTTCGTCTACTGTCCCTTCTGCAAGCTAAGTGGGATGTCTAGTTTGGCGACTCACTGATATCATCTGAGTCGTCGCCGTTGTTGCCGTTCCTTGGGTGTCTGGCCAATGTAAATTGAGCAGTGGTGGGATCTGGGCGAACCCATAGCGAAGTCCAACAGGGTCCCGAAGTCAGCGGCACAAGGCGACCAGCCCTAAGAAATTACAAGCCGCTTCTTCCGGGGCCCAAGAATCTTGCCAACTGTGCTTTCAAGCAGCCATGCTAAAAATGCGTGCCCGTGAATGTATTGCTCATCGGACATCGAACGAAACGGGATTGCACGAAGCTTGCTGGACTCAACATGTGGTCGTTGCATGTATGTGTATGTATGTGTATATCTCTATATATAGATGAGCGATATGGCTTAGACATTAAAGGACGTGTTTGCAGTTCCCACCGTGAATGGAGAGCATGCTTCTACAGCAAGTGTCACAAGGGCTCCCAGGGCTCCCAGGTCGGTTGGAAGGGCCCGTTGCGATGCACGAAAAACAAGTTCTCATGAGGAAGACTGGCAAACGGAAAGAGGGTTAGAGCGAAACTTACCAAAGAAAGCGAAAGAAACCGGGCCGATCATTCGTCTTTTTTGGGCCACTGAGCTCGATTGACATGCGAAGCTTCCCTCTTGAAAGTCAGGCTTCGCCGTGACATACAGCAGTGAGCTCACAAGGGCTCACAGTTTTGATGTTCCACGCTCTGAAAGATGCGTATTTTATGGTGCATGCCGGCTCCGTGCGGCAGAAGTGCTCGTGGTTCCACTCGCGGAGTCCCTGACGCCAGTGCTGGATCTCTGACTCCCACTGCCTCGAAAGCCAGGTCAGGAGGCCATCACACATGGGTCGAATCCCGATCAACGGGTCTCCGCGGGGCGGGTTGGGGTAGCTCAGGCTCCCACAACCAACCCCAAGGCTTCGACCGGAATTGGAAGCATGTCAGCTCACTTTGCAATTAGTACTTATGGCCACAAATGAAAACAAACTCCTTCAGCTAAAGAAGGCCAAAATGCCGAATCTCAGTTCCACGATTCCTAAGTCTGACGTTCTCACCTTGAACGGCTTTCAGAAGTGGGAGGCTTGAAGACTGGATGGATGAAGGAGGTGGGAGGCTTTAAATGCAAGTTCCGTAATGAACCAAAAGGCATGCAACACCAATACCACATCCACAGATCAGTCGAACACAATCGTCACTCCCAGTATCTCCCAGTCCTGAGTCCTGAGTCCCTGAAAATCCTGTGACGTCGTTTATGTGCCCCCCCCCCCCCCAATACGTGCCTTTTGCTCGTTCGCGCGTCTGGGTCCGGAGTCATTGGCTGACCCGGATCCTTTGGTGGAAGGCTGATGATTGAGCTCAAAAAGCCAAGTTGCTTGTCGACAAGGGGTCCTAACCCCATTTCATGTAAGCACTGGAACCTCAACAACAAGCATCAACCAGGCGTTGCAAGCTAAGCATTAGGGTTTTGGTGTTTCTTCAAGGGTTTGAATGCAACGTCTCAACCTTATAAGCCAATTTTTCAGGAACCGGACCCTGCACAAACCCGAATCCCTAAACCCTGACTTTTGAAGAGGTAGGAAACATGCACCCCAGTTTCGGTGTCTCAAGGAGATCTCTGTGGGCAGAAATAGGCTCGGTCTTTTACAGCCATGCTATGTGCTTATCTCTGCTCCCGCTCTACAAAATGCGCATCAAACTAGCACCAAGAGTCCAAGATCAATTTTTCGAACACCAATGAATCCGTAAACCCGAAACCCTCAAGATCCCTAAAAAGTGCCGGAACCAAACCACAACAACACAGCGTGAGAGGTCCCGCTCATCGCGAGGGTGCAACGAGTTAAAGGCCACGTAGTCCTTGCGCAAGCGGCCGCTTTGCAAGATTGAGCTCAGCTCCGGGCTTTCAAGTTCAAAGGTTTTTAGGATCGACTCCAACGGATACCATTGAAGAGTCGAGCTGAGGAGGAATGATGCTCTCGACCTTTCGGGTAAACTTGGGGTTCACTTTAGGGTTTTGGGCTTCGGCTTGCCGCATCACTCTGGGCTCTGGATTTGTAAAGGCCGCAGGACACAGAGCGCTTCGTCCTCAAACCCTAAATATTCGGACCCCAAAAGACCGTCCATACGCTGGATCCGCAGGCGCTTAAACCACGAGGTCGCGTTCCTCGAAGCCAAGTTGTCAAGTCTGAGCCCCTGAGCCGCAACTGAACCTGAATTCTGAAGCTCTTCAGCCCAAGCATCCACACGGCGCTTGTGTGAAGCGATGACCGTGCGCCGCTTGTTACGTCGCTGCACCCACTCCTGCGGTCGGCTTTGTGGGAGGTGGAGAGAGGGGGGCGACTTTACGGTTCACTGGCTGGTTCTCGGTGGGGGAGTGAGGGAAGGAGGCACCCTATATTTAGGGCCCTCATTCCCTCATTCCCTACTAAGAACCAGGGAGGGGGAGGGTTGGGCTTTGGGGAGTCTTAAGGGATTTAATTTTGGAGGGGTGCGGGGCCTCAGGCAAAGCAGCGAAGGGTTCTTTGGGTTACGTAGGGGGAGTGATACGGGGCTTAAACTCCACTGTTTATGCTTGTGGGCCATTGGGTCCTGCCCTTAAGCTTAAATCCAAAATCCCAACACCTCACACGAAGGCACTAACAAGTGGTAAGGGGAGCTCCCCCGTTTGCTACTTCAAAGAACTCGATGAACTCGACTCAGAGGGATCTGAAACTGGCCACTCGACTGGGAAACGCCGCGGACGAACCAAAAATGCGGTTCGGGGTATCTACTACTTGTGTTGCTTGGCAGGGACACACCACAATGACAACAGCTTCGGTAGCAGAAGCTGCTCTACGGGCATTTGCCCCTGTTTCCCTTCAACCCCGAACATGCAGGCAACCCCGAAGCATCCACACCAAACTGCTATAA